CCCCCTTAAGAGCCCAACCGGCAGCGCCCCAGCTGCTCTGCCCCAGGGTCCACAACAAAAGCCTGGTCTGCTGCGGCTTTGCTCCCAGTGCCCCTGGTCTGCTGGAGACGGTCCCCAGCAGACCAGGGGCACCGGGAGCAGCTTTTCTCGCCCCGGAGGTCGAGGTGGCTGACCACTGCCTGCGAGCTCCGGGGCGAGAAAGCCCCGTTCGTAAGTGCGGATCCGACTTATGTCAGATCCGCGTAAGTCGGGGACTGCCTGTATACATAATCTTAAAATGCCTTAGAAAGCTCATCCTTGCCTCTATCCTGTAAGAGAAATTTTATTGGAATAAGGCAAGAGAATTTTAAATCAGACTGACTTGGGATTTGTGTTAACATTCCTTGGATGAATAAACTATTTTTGTGTTGATATTTTTGTAGCTCCCTCTCTCACAAGCACCATTTTCGTTAAGTTTGGGACAAGCTTACCAACGATAGGACTTCATTGCATTTTACTAACAAAATGTTTGTTAAAACACAAGATGAAAAAACCTTAACGACTGAGATATGCAGTAGTGTGGCTAGTAAAGGTTTAGGGAACTGGTTCACATCTCAATCCTATACCCTAGTTGTGCAAAATGCAAAAATACTCTTTGCATTTGGTACAATTGTCAGTGCCTGCCCATAAAAAAGCGTAAGACAGAAACAGCAGGTCAAGACTTAGATACTTTGGTAGAAGAATGGGAAATATGTCCAGAACTAAAGTAACAACAATGAAATATTGAGGAATAATGGCAGCATTTGCTCAGAACTTGTGTGCTCTTAAAGTACTGGAATGCCCTGGGGCAGAAACTGAAATTTGCACTAAACTATGCAGCTATTTTGACCCAGTGGTGCGTCCTAGCAGCAAGGATTTAACATCAAACTCACTGTTAGCCAGTATTTGAACCCAGATATGCACAGTGCATTGCATACCACACACTCCAACATGATAACAATCTAGTAACATTAGAAACTTAACAGTCCAATTCATGGTAGATAGGGGTGGTAGAACCACCTATGAAAGTTGCCCAGTACTTCCCATTAAGATATGATGTGTTCACTTGCTTATAATTTTTCAAATTAACTGGTTTGGGCTGAAATATTATGCTTGGTGTCGGCTTCAGGTTGAATTTCTTTGGAAAGTTTCAGCTAAAATGGTTCAGCCATTTCCAAGAATTAGGTTAGGAAAAACTACATTGTTTTGACATTTAAAAATCCTGGCAACATTTTCTTTGAAAAGTTTTAACACTCCCCATTTGAGAGCAAGTACTTTAGACTTGGCAGGGCTTAGTCTGTATGCCAGGGATGTGCCTTTTGTTGTCCTTATGAAATTCCATTCATATTTGCTCAAAGTATAAGTAGAACCCTGCGTGAATACAAAATTTTGAATCGGCATCTGTATCTGCAGAAATGTGCCATGGATATCCACATCCACATCTGTGGATGCGGATCCCTTTGGATATGAAGTGGGTATCTGGGGATTTGTAGGGCTCCGATTATAAGCCTTTGAAAACATCTCAGTTTGCAAATGCTCAGTAGATTTTAGAGTTTAGCAGCTAAAATTCCTCTTCCTCTCACAGTTCCTACATGTGCCTGGACTGTGTATTGTCATCTCCACAGAGTAAATGAGTATGCTCAAGCCTAGGCCTACAGAAGCAAAGCTGGACTCAACTGTAATTGCCACTCCCAGCTAAGGTGCAGGAAGGCACCAGAACAATGAAAAAGAAGCTGTCTCTCCTGCACTATTAATAATGTCCCCACTAGCCCCCAGCCCCAGGCAACATGGAGAAAAAAACCCACCTGAACCAAACACAGAGAAGACAAGAGCTTGGGTGGGGAGAGGGAAAAATAGATTACGACAAGGAACCTAGTGAGATTAAAACTGGAAGATCTGGGAGTAGGGATGTGAATATTTAACCATTAAGCCTCACCCACTGGTTAAGGTTAACTGGTGGGTGCTAGAGCAGTTCCCCAGCTACCACAGGCTAGGGGCCGTTCCAGACCTGCGGGGGGCCCTCCCTGGACAGGGCTGCTCCAGCCAAATTTCCTAGCTTTTGAGTGCTTGAATTAACAGCTTGAATAGGAATTTTTAAAACATAGGTGTTTTTGTAATTATAAAAAGATATTGCTCAGGGCTTTGATATTTAAAATTTAATTTGCTCACTATTCGTAACAACCCCCTGCAATTTTACAAGAAAATTAGTCATAACAAAAATATTCCCCCACTGAACATGTACTAGTTTCTTAGTACGTGGTTCTCATTGCCACTGAGGCCAAGCATGTTAGTTCTTTATGCCAATTCTTCACTCAAGGGTAATGGGTTCCTGAAAAAAATCTGATGTAACAATTCAACTTTTGGGTCAAGCAGCCTTGACTTGTCCATTCAATTAGAACACATTACTAAAGAAGTACTTTAAATGCCACACATTAATATCTCACATTCATTAGAATGAAATATTATTACAGAAACACCAAAGAACTTAAAGAAATGGGCCATATTTTACAGTGTTTTCCTTTTTCATCACATGTACCTCAATTAGTTCAGAAACACCTATTGGATTCACAGTCTCTGGGGCTTCTGGTCCACCAGGCTTAGCTGCAACAGCAATAATAGGACACCCTTGGAACCTAAAAGAGAAAAAGAGTGCCCCACCATAAGACCACAAATCCCCTGCACATACAAGTAGATGGTAATAAAAAACCACATCCGACAATCCTTATCAGGAAATGGCTTTGGATATTGATTTATCTAGTTCTGCAATAACAAAATATTGACATCTTCTGATACTGTGCTATATGTGACTGAGATTATTACTGAACTTTTAACACTGTTAATTTTGCTTTCCTGTAGTTTCTGCTCTGATTTCCCTAC